TAAAATTTACTCTTATTACTATTTAAATTATACTTTTTAAGTTTTGGATTAATTACATTGAAAGTCCCCAAAGTATAGAGTTTATCTCATTTTAGTCTCTAATATTTCAATTGCATCATTTTAATTTCTGAAGTATTGAATATATTTATGTGTGGTCCCTCAAGTAGACAACGTACAAATTATTAACAATTTTTTAATATAAACATGTCACGTTACACCTAAATATGAACAAAAAATAATTTGAGTAACTCTTAAACAAAATTTAGATAATCCTTGACCAAAAAAGTGTAATATGAATAGCTCTTGATTAAAATTTGGACAACTCATGATCAAAACTGTGAAATTTAGGTAACTCTTTGACCAAAAGTTGGATAAAAATTAGATCAAGAATTATCTAAATTATTTTTTTATCTATATTTAAGTATTACGTGATAAATTTATAATAAAAAAAATTGTTAGCAATCTAAAAATTATCTATTTGAGAGACCATATAAAAAATATTTCAACAATTAAAATAATACAATCAAAATATTAAAAACTAAAATAGGATAAATCTCGTACTTTTAACGACTTTCGTGCAATTAATCCTTAAGTTTTTTAAAGCTTCTTTCAATGTTGCTAAGAGTTAAAAATAATTGGAGTGCAATTGTTGTCCAACATTCATAGGAGCGTGTACCACGCGCCTAAGAAAGTACTCGAACTGACCTTTACAATAAATGAGCACACTGTTTAGCCCACGAACATGTACTGATAAACGCACACTAGATTTAGGTTCACTTAGTCAAATAAAGACATTAAATCATGTAATATAATAATGCAATGATACATTAAAATAACCAGAGCATGATGGGCAGCATGGGGGACAAATCCATAATATATTAATGCATGATGTTGTACAAGGTTTTGTCCTTATTATATCACTTTGTTTTGTATATTTACAAAATTGTATAAATATCTATTTATAATACATTATAACATGTCACGCATGCAAATGAAAATAATAATAATAATAATAATAATTGTACCATGACAAAGCTCCTTTTCAATTTTAATTTCATTTGAACCTAAAATAAGTATAAAAAATCGTTACTCCTGAATTTAAAACAACAAAAATTCAAAAGTTGAATAGTGAATTTAATAAATATCGAATATTAATTTAAAACCCGATAGGAGTAACACTTAGTCGTGGTAAGTTCATAGAGGAAATTGACATGGTCAACAAAATGCATGTCACTCCTCCCCAACAACGTTTGCTTTCTTGTATAAAAACCAAAATCAAGCATCTCAGTTCAATAATTTGACTTTTGCATCCAAAAACATTAATCCGATTCAACACTTTTTGGCATAAAAACCAAATCAAACATCTTAGTTCAATAATTTGACTTGGGCGTCCAAAAAGATAAGTCCGATTTCACATTTTTTTACATATCCTTATAGTACAGCCTGTTTGTTTTGTCGATTTGGTAGAATTGGTGTTCGGAGTTTGGAAAAAATAATACAAAATATTCTCAAACCCTACGTTTGGGTTAAAAATTTAATTTTGGGTTCTCAAACCCGACCCGAAAAATAAATTCATGATCATGAGTTTCGTCAAACCTAAGAGGTGGGTTTAAGAAGATGAATTAAGAGGTTAAGGATGCAAAAAATAATTGTATCTCTTAACATAAATATGAATTGGATTGATCAAGGGGATAAAATAGTTATTTATAAGACAAATAGTTGTTAATAATTTAATATATCTGTGGGTCTTACATGTGGATGTGTTGTAAATCAAACATGAATATAAACTGAATTTAATATGAGCAATGCTATTGAGACCTAATTTGCTGACCTAATTCATCATGATCTTTGGATTGACCGTAGACTTCATCAAATATTAGAACTTGGTGTTAATTTAATGGTTCCAATGAAACCACGTCATTAGGTCAACAAATTATGTCAGATTTTTAGGTCCAAATAATATTTTTTATTTAATATTAAATCTCATTTTTGTAAAGAATGGTTTGAGTTTGGAAAGATTTGAAAAAATTAATACAAACTCTCCCCAAAAATTTATCCAAACAATAATAAATGATTCGCTTAGAAAGAATTATAAATAACTTAAAATTAAGAATATAATAATAGGTAGAGGATAATCATATTATTCGATAGAAAAAAGTTGTACTATGTTTTTTTTTCCCAGAATGTAAAAAGGTTATATTAAAATGGAACAAAAATCAATAATTTCGTTTCTTATTTTTTTTAATTATATTATTAGAATTATTACCCCAAATTCTCTTTCCCTCCAGATTAAGACCCCCAGAACCAACCAAGGCAGATTCTTTTCAATCCCTTTCTCTCTCCTCCTACTTTCTCTGTCGCCATTACGGCTGCTTCTGCTGTTTTCCGTTTTTGCTCTGTTTGGACACCTATAAAAAGGACTGTTTCTCCATTGAAACACCTCTGCTTGAACCTCTACTCTTTTGGACTTTTGAGAGAGAGAGAGAGAGAGAGAGAGAGAGAGAGAGAGAGAGAGAGAGAGAGTCCATAGAAGCAGAGAAATGTATGCGGAAACTGGGCTTCTGTTCCCTTATTTCCACAACTACTCTCAAGAAGTGCCACAGCTCGAAGCGTTCTGTTGCTCTCAGAAACCCAATGCTCCCTTGGTAAATAGTTTCTCTATCTTGTTTCTCCTCTTATATCTCTCCGTTTCTTGTGAATTTGATCTTTCAGCAGTTGTTTGATTGGTTAAATGTGGGCTTTGAGCTTCAACACTTCATTGATTGCGGCTTAGGGTTTGTTTTTCTCTCCTATTGAGGTTGTCTTTGAGTTTATGCTGTGTTTTGTTGCAAAATTATATTGATTTGTGATCTTCAAAGTTGTTTGGCTTCCGCTTGGTTTTTAGAAACAGAGGAGCAAAGCTTCAATGTTTGAATCGAGTATATTTTGTTTTGTCCAGGCCATCAAAAGTCAAACTTCGTAAAAATTATTTCTTTGTTTAAATTCTCTCAGCATTGCAAAGTGAAAATGAAGGAAAATACCCACTGGTTGCTACGAGGTAAAGAAGGAAAATTGGAACTTTAACTATCTAATATGCAAACTTTCAGTTCGTCAATTTTGAGAATTTTCCCAGCCACCAAACAGACATATAGAAAGTGACTCAGTTCTCTTTGTGTGCTGGACCTGGAATCAGGAAAATAATATCACAATCACGCGTTCCGTGTTGTCTTCTCTCTTTTCCATTTTTCTTATGCGGAAAAGACAAAATTGGCCACGGATTTGTTTTTCCATATCTTTCTTTCTTTTAGGGTACTTAATAATATGCTCACAATTTTTTTTTCCTAATCTAATGTCAACTTGTCGTGAAGAATTTACTTTTCGCTGCACTTGCTGAGATTAAAGAAGAAAAGTTGGGAAAAGCAAAAGCTAAGTCACCTTTAATTTTGTTATTCCATTGGTTTGTGTGGGGGAAATACTAATTTTGGGAAAAAGAGTCACCTTTGGGAAAGTTGGATTTTATCTTTATACCTTTGAATGTTTGGACTTCTAGTTACTTTTGAGACTATTAATAACAGCTGAATAGTTCTTAGGAAGGAAACTCTTTGGGGATATAAACACCAGCTCTATGGAAATTGTGGCTGAGTTTGAGTTGCCAAATTTATGCATAAATTCTGGCAACAAATGTTGTGGAACCATGGATTATATCTTGTCGATTTTCTCCATTTCATTGCTAAATAAAGGGAAGTGGCCACTTTTTCTCCATTTCAAGCACGTGCAAGTCTCTTGTAATTATCAAGGTGGTGACAAGTTCTAAACCTTTGATACCATGTTAAACTACCAACTGCTCTAAAAACTTAAGTTATTTGAAATGGTGTAACTTAAGATCCCTCTCCCCCTTTTCTGGCAGCAAGGTTCTCCCTTTAGGACCGACTACAACAAGCTCGCGACTCTAGTAGATACAAAACGGGAAGTTGTCTTCTCTATTTATTTGCAATGCTATGCCTATCAAAGTTGGCTAACGCTTGTGTAACCTTGGACTCGTTACGTTGTTCTATTGAACTCATTGACTCCGAGTCCACTGAAAGTCGATCACTTTTGTCACCATCAACATTTGATACTTTCTTGATAGCTTCAATAGTTCACTAAAAGCATTTGGTGCTCAAGCCCTTCAGAAAAGAAGACATAATAATAAAGGGTTGGTTAAGAACTACTAATGGTAAACCATGGCACCTTATAGTCACTAATGAAATTCGGAGAAAACATAGAACCGGTCACTATAGTGGGGGGCGAGACATGACCACGACTTAAGATTTATGTAATAAAGCACATACAAATACGAGCCGACTAGAAGAAGCAAGTCTTAGATTACTAGATCCTGGACACAATCTTCTTTCCTTCTTGCTTGCTTATCTAGCTCTTGTCTTAGTGACTCTTCCTCTTTCCTAGGTTTTTTTTTTCCTAGTCTTAAAATGGTAGATTTTTCATTTGTCAATGATTTGGATCCGTCCCAATTTGATCAATAATTGAATTCTTGGCTAGAGAAAGATTCTGTGACATGGATGCTCAATCTCCAACTCGGTTAGTCGGTTGACTCACCTAATATATAATGAGATTCTCGATCGATTTGATCGAATTTCAAAAAGTATTTCTCATTATTTAGAACAGATGAGCTTTCGATCAAGATGCTATCGCCTCCCCTGTTTGGATTCTCTGAAACCCTTCTGCGTTGGTAGGCTTTCGACTTAATCTAATAGCCTACTTATCGAGCGCCAATAAAAGAAAAAGTTTTTGCATGGCCTCATCATCTGATGTGAAAGGGGGAATTAATATGGGGGAAGTTGGTTTCAACTCAACTCTTTCCACTAGTTCTTGAAAGGAATAACTCTTTCCTTCATTTTCAAAGATAGTAATTAGTTTGGGCTGGCATAAAAGATTTTATTGAATGAACACTACTTTGGTTATTTTCAAACAAATCCAATGTTGGGCCAAAAGTTGCCAACCGGTAATAGCCGAAGGCAAAAATGGGAAAGGTAGGGAAGAGGAGATTAAGGATAGTCACTCCACTCCATAAATAGTGCACACAAATTCTTCTTTCATTTTCAATTCCTTTTGGGTTGGAAACACAGGTTGCTAGTGGGTTTGGTTGTGCCTATGCTTCCTCTTCATTCGTTTCACTTTACAACTGGAATAAGAAACCTTAGAATTCACCCTATTAGTTGATGAAAAAATGGGATTTAAGAGGAGGACTAGCTAGCAGATTAGAAAGATTTGTATGGAATGTCCTACTCTTGTTTGAGCTTTTCAATCAACCAATCCCACATTTCAGGGGCATCTATGAAAGGTAGGCCTGGGGATTACTGGTTAGTAGAATGAGCCTATCCCTATGGCATATCATTGTTGGTCGATCCGGCTGGAGGCTCTTGCGTCTTCTATGGGGACCTACTTGCTATATCCACGCGTTCTTGCACGGCTTAGCTCATTCTTTGAGCCCTGTTTCTCCCTTCCCCCTCTCCCCGTTCTACCGTCCGAAACGGGTTGTATGGAGTATAGCCAATTGGTAAGGCGTCGGTTTTTGGTACCGGCGTGCAAAGGTTTGAATACCTGATCGGATCTATCAAGATTGAGCTGACGACTACTGGGGAAGCGGTTGATTGCAGTCCCTAGCCCTAGCTTGTAGCAAACTAAAAAAAGTGTGACTTGAGCCTACTTTGCTAAGAGAAGAGAGTGAAGGAAAAGAAAGACGATAACAAAAAATCCTTCTAATCGCAGAGTTGAACACAACACTGACTTAGGAGGTTCTTTCATCAATCTCTTGGCCCTTGTTTAATTGCTTGTTCCGTAAACCGGTCGTTGGTTGATTTGATCGGACCCCGGACACGCGAGAGCCGAGCCGGAGAGGAATGCATGGTTCCCTGGCAGTTCATGGGACGAATGTTTGCAGTCCTTCTCCCACTAATCTAACCCTACTATGCTCACCCAAGCCTGCCAACACAATAAGAGAATGAGGGAGCTAAAATATGCTTGCTTGTGCAGGCGAGGACCTCTCGGCTGTCAACTAGGTTTTGCCAGCTTCAAGTGACTTTCTTCTTCGCTCTTCGACAGCCCTAACAAGTAGCTCGAAGCTCTGTCATTTGCCCTATGCTGTCTTCCTGTAATTATCAAGGTGGTGACAAGTTCTGGACCTTTGATATTATGTTAAACTACCAGCTGCTCTAAAAACTTAAGTTGTTGAGATAGTGTAACTTAAGATCCCTCTCCCCTTTTGTCTGGCATGATGATTACTGGGCTGCAATTCTAGGAAAGCAGCCTAGTTCTTTCTATTCAAGTTTAGCTACCTTTACCTGACTTATGGACAAATATGGAAACCATGCTCTGCCCTATGGATCTAGCAAGGATGTTGATTTTCTTAAAGCTAATATGGATTTGAGTAGTGTGACCAGTATTTGTTAAGATGTCTCATGGTTTATAGATTTTGCCATTTCTAGGTCCAGATGTTTTAGCATATGCAGTGTGAAAGCTGATATATGTATTTTTGTTGAAATTTATCTATGGTAAAATTAGTTTTTTCGTTCTAGTCAGTAATATATGGAGAGTTTTTGTTTTTCATATTGCAACTTGTTAGACTTTGTTTTTTAATACAGGGCAATCTGGTTCAGACCTCCTCCATTTTGGAATATGACTTTGGGGAAGAAGGAGATCTCTTCAAAGCTCCAGAACCGATTATTGAAGAACCAGGGGTGGGGCTTGATCCCATGATGGCTGCCATTTCAATGATCTCTTGTGGAGATGATGTGGTCTCCCCACAAGCGCTCAAGGTTGCAGGTATTGAATCAATACAGAGTGAGCAACTTTTGAGTGAGGTTTTCTATGAATGCAAGAGGGATCTCTTGGCAAAAGAAGCAATTGGTACACCACTCTCAGTGGTTCTGGACATCAAGATTCCTGGTGTGAGGATAGATGAAAATCCGATTGCAGAAGAAAAATTGCTTCCTCAGGAACAACTGCAGAAAAGTATTAGCTCAGGGTGTTTAAGCTCGATGGAGTGGGTGCACGGGGCTTCAATAAGGCCTAATTTTATGGATTTTCCTGGACTGGACTTTGGAACTGTGTATGGGATGCGAAGGGCATTCAGTGAAGGAGATATAAAGGTCAATTTTAAATGCGCTTTTGCTATGTCATCTCATCTCTGCCCATCTTCCTTTACATCTGTATTTGATTATTTCTCTTATCCGATTTGTCTTCAAGCCAGTTAAGTGGCCTTTGAGGAAATCTGAGAATGAAATGGCACTAGGCCATTCTTTGAAAAGGAAAAGGTATAAAAATGGAGGAAACATGAACAAAAGCTTAAAGCAAATGTTAACAACCTGTTTATAATCATTGCAAAGTTTGTAAAAAGGTTGACTAGCTTTCAACAATTAAGATTTCCTCCTCCTATTTCTTTATCTTAGGTTGTGGTCCATGTATGCTTGCTGGCGTGAATCTATGCTACTCAAGTCCTAGGAGTTGCTAGAAGTTGTAAGATAAAGAGACCAGAGAGGCACCAAGAAGTCCTGTTCTCTTCTATTCACCTTTTGCGAGAATAAGAAATGATCGCCAGTGAAAATTAAAAGAAGTGATTAATTAATGGTTATGGTCAGCAGAACAATGTAAAAAGCAATACTGATGCATTAACTGGCTGTTGATTTTTGTGAGCATATCACACGAACTTGTCAAATCTCATTTTTGATCACCTAGAAGGTATTAGCAGTGTAGAAGGAAGAATTACACACCTCTTGCTGGAACTCCGTTGGTTTAGTGGAAGAGATATTGTTTATGCTATAGTTTTAGTTGCTGCAAGGGAGGGAAGACTATCTGGTTCCACCAAGAAACTAAATCATCAGCCTCTGATCAATTTTGTCATGAATTTCCCGACCATTGATTTAGCTATAAGCAACAACAATAGAATCCAAATTTTTTATCCGTCTATTACTAACCTCAAGTTTTTCCTAGATTGAATAAGTTTTCTATTTTCCTAAGCACCGCATCCTAGAAATTTATCTGGCCAGCAGTTTACATGTGAAATCAGAAACTGATAATTCATTTATGAGTTGAAATGTGCTTATATATAAGTGTATGTAGATGTATCTGCATTTTCCTTTGTTCTGCATCTCTGGTGTAAAGCACAAGCTCTATGTAAATTCATATCTGTGATTGAGTCCCAAGCATTTATTGCTTTTGTGACGAAGTCTACAAACTAAGAAATGTTCAGATGCTTCTGGCCATTTCAACAGGATGTGCCTCGGTCATTGATAATGGGTTTTTATGACAGACTCTTGGTAATGATAATGTGGGCCTCATCCATTCTTCCCTAGGGCAGTCACAACTTAACAGCAATTGCATCACTGAAGATCGTCAGCAAAAGCTTTCCAGATACAGGAATAAGAAAACAAAGAGGAACTTTGGCAGGAAAATCAAGGTAATTGATTGGCAGTGTTTTGGGCTGCATGTGCTATCATTTATATCAATTGCACCATTAGCTGTCAGCTAGGGCAGTATCTCTTCAAAACCCCCAAAAATGGACGGTGCTGGAGTTTGATGCGGGTACGTGTTTGATATTTATTGATGGAAAAAAAAATGAAAAAATTGCTTGCGTCCATTACTCTGTGGCTCTGGGTAGATGTTCATTATCTTCTAATAAGTTTTTTTTTCCTTTCTTTTTACCCCATCTTTATCTCTCTTTGGGGGGAAGGGGGGATATAAGTTGTGTTGTGGTGTATGTATATCCATCCTTGGTGGAATAGCTACTGCATTAACTGACGCGGTCTTGTCTCTTATTAACTTTAATTCTCAATATAAAGAACAAACTTGGTTACATGAGCCTCTCCACTGTCGACCTGGACCACATGTAAGAAATGGTCAGCATCCATCAACAGTTCATCTTAATGCAAATGACATCACCATATCATTACCTGTTCTATTAACCCATTGCACTCCTCTTCTGATGGCTATAGACAATCTCAAGGAAGCCTTCTTTGACTTCCATTTGGAAAAAATTGTCATAAACTTGATGCCATTTGGAGCTACTTTAGATTCATGCCCTCCGTGTTGGATGCGTTTATGGCAACCTTTGTAAGGACTGTAACAGGTTTACCTTTCATTGCTCGTGACCAAAATGTTATATTCTTTATTGACATTATTCTCATTTTTCCGAATCCAAGAACCTTCATAAGGTTTTTTTGTTCTTGTTTTTTGCATGACTTATCCCTTCATAAAGGTTAATTCTCCTTCACTGTGCACTTCCCGTTGTTCTTTTCTTGCTTGATCACTATGGTCCACATCACTGCATGGAGGAGATTCTTCATCATCTTGGCTTGATGAGATGATAATTTCCCTAATTGAGACAATCTAATGGAGAAGTTGACTCTGCTCAGTAATAATGAACAAACTGCGGTGTGAGGTATTGAGGTAAAACTATTCTGTCACCGGTTCACTAATGCTTTTCTTTCTTTCAGTATGCTTGCAGGAAGGCTCTGGCTGACAGTCAACCGAGGATCCGTGGAAGGTTTGCAAAGACCGACGAATCTGATTCTTCCAAGAAGCAACACTGTTAAACTCTTATCAGTAAGAAGAGATGCTGGAAATAAGTAGTTAGAGTCGACTTAGTAATGAAACATATATGTGAAAATGTAAGCTTGGGCTAATCTAAGTTGAATGTTTAAACAGCTTTTGCTCAATAAGCTAGAAAGAACCCCCAACACCTGGAACTAGTTGATCTCTCCTATTAGCTACAATAATCTCCTTTGTAAATGGAAAAGTCCAGAGTTGTATATATTGTTTGCTGAATAAATGAAGTCAAAAGCTGTACTGGTTCATGTTTATGATATTATGCAATCCTGGTATTCCAGTTTCTGATGGAGCTTATGCAACAATTAGATATGTACCAAGGAGAGAATGTATGAAGGTATATTAAATGGAACCGCACTCTCAAGGACTTACATAGTGATTAATTTTTATGAAATTTTCTTATCAACTCCAAGTGAATCCATTCATTAATGGATCTTATTCTATAAATAAGAATTTGGTAAGAAAGGAGTAAAAAAAGAGTGACTTGGTATGTGAGATTTTCATCAATGGTGAATCTAAGATGAGTAAGATGCAGGTAATTTTACTTCTAAAGGCTAAAAATCTAATTTTGCTGCTGAATTTTATATCATTTTACCTCATAAAAAACACTCTTGACCAAATAAAAAATCTCATAAAACACTTTTACGATTCTACCGTATCTCAAGAAAAAAGATCATAATGATAAACAATCATAGAAAGAAAATATTTTGCATTTTAAATTTGGAAGCCCAAATGAGCATGAACCCTCGGATAGACAGGTCTTCAAGAAAAAAAAATAATGAAACCTATTAATCTAATAATTTTCATTCATTTCAAATCTCAGTATTGGTGATCGGAGAAATTGAAAGTTCGAGAGTAGTGCCCCCAAGGAGAAAATATTTAATATAACGATTACACCACTTCATTATCGGTACATAGTGTAATCGGTCAACACGAGACGGTAAGGTTCACTTATATAATCTTTAAATATTTAGCCCGCCCCAAGAATATGGGAAACAAAACAGTGAAACGTGAAATGTACAATCTGTCTTACTATTCTAATTGGGCCGTCACCGAAGACTGATACTAAAAGGAGACGGGTAGTTACGTTAGCCTCTCTGAAACTTGTATTGATCATAGTAGCTAGCTCTGATATTTTGGATAGGTGGCAAGGACAAAAAGGCGGACGTAGAGCTGTGGAGAGACTCGTGCGGAAACGTTTCAGGCATTCTCTTACACGCAACTCTCACACGCTTGTCGTCATTATATACCAACACTCCCTCCCGGATCGCAGCAATTCTTCGATTCCTCTCTCTCTCTCTCTGGTAAGTCTTTCTATTCCGATTCTGTAATTGTTACATCTTCGTCTTTGTTTGCCTGCCGAGAATGTGTTGGAAAATGAAAGAAAATTGAACTTCCGTAGTTTCGACTACTTGTATTGACTTGATGAAATTTCATTTTTATGTTTTTGATTATGTACTTCTTGGTTGTTTGTTTATTAGATTTGAAGTGAATGGCATTAGTTGGAGTAAGTTGCTCGAGTCCGAATCTGGAAAGTATTGCAGTACCACACTTGAATTTTAGCAATAATCTGTCGAAGAACAGGCCGATTACGCCAATTTGTTTACCTCTATTTGGTAAAACTGATAATCTAATGCGAAGATCGAGAGGAAGCTCGACATTGAGGAGGTTTTCATCATCAAGAGAAGCTGTATTTCCGTTGGAATCATCCGATGAGAGTTCTATTACCACTGCCACTGGCTCTGAATTGGTGGAGGATGAACTGGATCACGTTATAAAGTTCAGGATGTCTGATTTTACAATTGGCGATCGAGTTAGCGTCGGCCTCGGTGGGCGGGTATATTCGATACACAAGTTGAATGTATTTCCTACTTGTATGTTTTATCAGGATATTATATATGGAGAATTTTTATATTTGTTTGGCCTCCACTTTGAATTAAAGCTTTATTGCAGGCGGATGAGGCAGTTTTTGAAGCAATAGTAAAGGATCCAAATAGGTCAGCTTGTGATATGCTTCAGTTGTTTATAATATGACTATAGATTAGTATGAAGGAATGCAATATTGGCATCTGATTTCGTTTTCATGAAATGCAGCCCTTTGTATAGTACAAGAGTCGTGATTCGACAATTGACTAGTGCTCAAGCTCAGCGAAGGGGGAAACGGGCCATAGAGGTTTGTTTGTTTATTTAAAATGTATGGATTGAATTTTATGCTATCATTTTTATGGTCTTCAAGCTTATTGTATTTTTTTATCATTGACATGTCGTCTTGTAGGTATTGAAAAAACTTGCTCGCCGAAGACTTATGTATCATTCTTACTCAATGCAAGTTCATGGCTATGTCTGTTCAACCACAACTGGCGACCATGGTTCATTTACCCTGGTTCACGGGGTACGTCCCTTTTTATGTAGGGCTATTTTGTTGGCAAAGTATTGGCAGAAGTAGCTTGAGGCTTATGTTTATTGTTGTGGGGAAAGTTCGTGAAGTACTGAACATACACTATTATTGAGCTGAGTAGGATGTTTGGCACCAAAGAACCCTTCTTGTGGGGATTTTGAATGGAACACCTTTTCCTCTGCATGTTGTAGATGGGAATTTGTATTCGCCTTTGTTGCTGAGTCATTTTATATGAGACTTCGCTGTTAATCCTTCTTTTGCAGTATCATGGGAGTTTCTCTTTGAGACATTGGCTTCAACAAGCAGATTGGCTGCCAACATTAGAAGCTACTCTTGCTTTGGATGAGGAGTCTGTTAGGAGGGTGGGAGATGATACAGTTGGGGGACCAGCTGTTTCTCGACAATTGCGACTAACTCGAATTCTTATGAGGGATCTCTTAATTGGAGTATGTCTTCTGTTTATAAATATTTGTGTATATATTTTGCTGTCATAGATGCATAAGTTTTTCTTCGTCACATTGGATGCAATTATCATGTTCTTGTTTGCCTCAGGTTAATTACTTACACAGCCATGGACTTGCCCATACAGAGTTGAGGCTGGAGAATGTGCACATTAGCCCTGTGGATAGACATATCAAAGTGAGTATCAGTCCTTTATTACATTTGAGTGGAAGTTAAGAATCCACTGACATCTTTTTTTTTTTTTTAACTTTGTAGTTGATCCAGTCATATGGGTTGGAAGTAGACCTAAACTAATAACTTATAAATGCAGCAAGTCAGAAGAAGTATCTAGAATTCTTTGATGGGGAACAATAGGCAAGTTTACACTTCTTGCAATATTATGCTGTTTAGGCCTTTTACTTGGGAACTGATGACACATTAGGGAAACAAGGGACAACTTTTGTCCAAGGTGCAATTAGAGAAAGCAGTTTAGGAACCCTCCATTGTAGGAGATGTAAGTCCAGTGTGATGACCTACTGTGAAATTTCCTTCACATTGCTCTTCTGATCTGAGTTGCATGTTGAATTTGGTCGTGCTTTTGAAATTGAAGTTGCAAGTTCCACTGCAACATATTGCTGTCAAAATTTCCGGACAATTCAGTGTATAAAACTGGTATTATGGCATTAGAATGAAAAATATAGCATTGCACAAGCTTAAGATGTTATGGCATGTGCGTGAATTGATGTATTCATTGAACTACATTTCTCTCTGCAAATTTACCAGTGAAAGAAAGAAGTACTTATGTTAAAATAAACATTGATAACTGAGGTAGAGCATCTGTAATCTGATAATCTCTGTTGCAAAACTTACTACTAGAGTTGCAAGGGAACGTGAACTTGGCTAGGATGTGAAAATGAGGGATATGAATCTCTGCTAATAGTCATGGATCCTTCAATTATGTTATGTACCTATACATGTTTCCACATATTTGCTCAACTAAGTAATTAGGAAGAGGTTCTTACAGAACCAAGTGATTTAAAGGGTGAAGAGATGTTATAATCTGAACTGGCCAGATTTATGAAAATTTGGTGCTTTTTGATGCATGTCAATCAGTTTCATCTTTCTGTACTGTATGTGGTCTGCTCGTCCATGGCTGTATGAATTTTACATTATCAGGTAGGGATTTTGGGGAATGCTGCTGATTTTTATGAGAACAGCACAGAGAACAGCATGTCAATTAGCAATGTGGACAGGCGAAAGATGATGATAGCATTTGACATGAGGTACAATGCTGAAAAAAACTCAGGTTAAAATTGTTCTTATTATGCTTGTGTAATATTTTATTGATGAAGTTCACTTCTGTTTATGTGTTGCTAAGATGTGTTGGATTCATCATGGCAAAAATGGTGTTGAGGGAACTCATGGATCCAATGATCTTTGCGAAGTTCAAAGCGTTCCTTACAATGGTATGATATACTCAAGCTAGTGAAGTTTGTGTGAATGACTTTACTTCCAATCACTCTGTTAAATCCTATCATATGCATGTGCAGGGAAACAATCCTTCCTGCTTGCGTGAGTTTCTACTCAAGATTCTCATTAGGAATTCCTCTTCCGGAAATTTTGGACTCCAAGTGAGTAAATGTTCACCTAGTATACAAGTCACTGCACTTCTGCTGCTTTTGTTTCCCAATGTTTAGATACTGTAATATTACTCTTGCAGATACTGGACAGGAACTGGGGAGCAGGGTGGAACTTACTGTCCTTACTACTCGCAACCAAACCATTGGAAAGAATAAGGTATGCTAACCGTACTGCTGTCGAAGTAATCATTTCCAACCAGATCCCATGATGAAAATATGCGTCTAATACATTGTCAGAAGGGAGGAAAAATTATTCCACATCCACGAGAAGTTCAACAATATACTATCCATACAAAGTTATTTTTGAGATGGAATTTGTAATAAAACTCAAGCCTCTTCTTCTAGATTCATTGTTATTTGAAAGCATGTTTAAATGAGAGGTTTACATGTCTAAAACTAATAATTAAATTACAACGAGATACTTTTGACTTACATCCAATCATAATTACCACAATTCACTAAATTCTTAACAACTCATCTGGGTATATCGATTCCAAACGAGGTAGGTTTGCGATCTAGATCACTAAAATGGATGACCCCAAATTGTAATACTAACCCTAAATCAATACACTTTAGAACATGTAATATAAATATAAAATACATATTAATTGACTACATGTATATAGATTTATAATTATATATTGTTTTAGATAATAGAAAATCAAACACAACTATAAGATATATGGTAACTAATTTCGTGTTTATGAATGTTCTGTAGTATATAATGTTATATAATAGTAAAAACGATATACATAAAAGTTTTAAAACGAATTACTATCCAAAATATTTTACCAGTTAACCCCCTCGTACTGCGTACCTAAGAAAGTGTCGTACCATGTACTCGTACTTGTACCACGTACCAAAGCGACTCAAGATTCAGGTAACATTACATCCAACTCAGTGTATGATGCACAAGAAAATATTGAATACAGATTCTTTGCTGATCAGGTCAAATATATGATTGTACTGATAATAAAAATTATTAGAGATTACATTTGTGTGATTCATAATGATCCTTCTGGAATGTTCACAGTTGTTTAGATGCTCTGAGACACCCATTTCTATGTGGACCGAGATGGCGAGTAGAGCCGTCTATGGGCATCATTAGGTGGAGCCTTGGTTCAACTGCAGTTCGAATTACGGAGGAGTACATTTATGGGCAGCAACAGGTATTCTCATATCTGTCATTGTCTTCAATGTTGCACTGCACACCAAAACGGAGGTGTACTTGGAGGACCTTTTTTTTGGTTTGGGTTTTTTTTTTTTTTTTTTTTGGGGGGGGGGGGGGGGGGTTGGAGTTGTTTGCTAGCAATGATAAACTTCTTATAGTCAGGTTGAGATTTGAATGGGATGTGATGGCAATAACCTGTTACATGGAGGTTTCTTCTTCTATTCAGATAATGGGTCCCCACAATAAACTTTAGGGGAATTAACCCAATTGACTAGGACATTTCTGCCAGGGTTGAAAAACTGTTGTTTTATATGGGAAATTAGAAGTTTCTGTGACACACATGCCAGTCCATATTCATCAGTAATCCATCATCCGATCACTTCTCCTCTATCTGAATGAGTATCCCCTCATTCATCCATACAGTTTTGTTTGCCAAGTATTTCCATCCAACAACACTTACTGACCTGTTATTTTTTTGCTAATGTTTTAGCGTAGTAGGCTTGCACACTTCATCGAGTTAATGGAAATGTTGAATCCTCATTCAAAGGCAAAGGTAAAAAATTTCTATACATTTTCTTCTCCCTTTTTTTTTTTGTAATTATCTATGGTTTCTTGTCCAACCAATAAAATTTGTTAAAGGAATTGATGTTTTTTCCTTTGTTTATTTCCTTAAACATGTATCACTCTAGTAGTCTGACTATTTATGTTTCTTCTGAAGAAGCCTTGGTATCTTAATCCTTATGTTTACAATAACATGCTGACGTTCGCTCAATGCTTCTTATGTTTAAACGAAAATGGTTACTTTCACCATGCAAATTGCTCTTAATATCTTGCATCCCAAGTCCTTGTTAGATCTAAACCAAAGGAATATTATGTAACATCTTTCATCTGGCTTTTTAATTACTACCTTTTCTCATCTGTAAACGGCCCTACCAATAACTCAATAGCTTCAAAAAGCCGTAATCCCAACTATATGGGGTAAGCAAAAACTGCCATATACCTTACCGAGTTGATTATGTTATCCTGATTTGACGAGGCTCAATTGTTTTGGCTCTGCCCCCAAATTGTTGCAACGCAGCCATGGCTGATGAAACATCAAACAAATTATTATATTTTTCGCCTTTTGTGCCTGATAATATCTAAATCCCCTTGCTATTTGATGAATTTGCAGCATTGGCTGCAGTTGCTGCCTGGAAAATGGCGCCTTTTATACTGTACTGGGAGGCATATAGGATTGACCCTTCGCCAGCCTCCTGCCCGAGTCCTTATTGGTGATGTGCACCTTACAGTACATAGTGCATCAAAGTCAACCAGGGCCCTTTCCTTTACCTCTAACATTAGCTTCACGATTATGGTTGGCCGAGATTGGCCTCATGACAAGGCCGGAGTTGCTGGAAATTTACAAGTAGACTCTCTTTGCCGATTGACAGCTGGGAGACGACTCTATCTTAAGGAGGAAAATGCCACTCGAAACTTCCCCTCAGCCTCATCGGATGCTCAAGATTCTGTGTTTAAAAAATTGTCTAGTAAAAAATGGAGGAAAGCAATTCCTTTCAAGGAGTTTCCTTCAAGCCTTCCGGTGGCCAAACTCGTCTCAGGTGACGTTGAGATGACTCTGAGTCTTGATAGGCCATTGAGTCAAAATGTTAAAACTGCACAGAATGTAATTCAAGAAGTTCAGATTCAAGTACCGCCCGAGATGTTTGATCTATCAAAAATTGTTTGTGGAACGTATGTGGACTCTAGGCTACTCGTTCTTCGCAGTGCAAATGGATCGGCACTCTTCTTTACAAGGTCTGGTATGAGCGAATTCTGTAGCTAAGATTGCCCTGTGCTGGGATGCAGAAGAAGCAGAATGGCTGCAAGTGGCCTTCAAGTAGAGTTAACATGAAACAGAGCAACTCTGTACATGTAATTGTTGAACTTGTACACCTGTAAATGCAGTGTCGTGCTAGTGTTTTATATCATATGGTTGTTCACCTTTGCTGCACACAAAAAGAACCTCCTTGTAACTAGCAATTTTCGAAATTTATAAAAATTATCAACTAAACAAACTATGATCCCTAAAAAATCAAATGATCCCTCCCGGATATACAGACTATGATTCCAACCAAAATTCATAAGCAGTTAAAGCATGTATCAGAATCCAGCAGCCATATACGGTTCTACAAACAAATAATGGTGCCAGAAAGAGGGTTCAAGCTTTTTTACTAAATAGGCAACCACTAAACGAGTTGGATCTAAAAATTTAAGTGTTTCTCAGCAATGCAGTTTCTTGCTTCTTTCCACAAGGCGGATCCCAGATGGGTGCAGCTGGGCAATGCATCTCCATGTCCCTTGTAACACGAGCCTCAACATCTCCAGAAGAGTAGCTCGTTTCCTTAGCTTATAGTTCAAAATGGAGGACCATGAACTGGAAGATAAAAAAAAATCAATTTAGCAAATCAGAGAGCTAATACACACCAAGAAAAGCCAATATCTCAACATATTCCTGCAAAAGAGGGGCATAAAAAGACGCATCCCACCCAAAAAAAAAAAATTGGTCCTAAGGCATAATCTGAACAAATCCAGGACTGCTAAGCAAGCATGAAGCATGTATTTGCCATTCGAGCGAAATTCGGGTTTGCAGTTTACGTGCAAGTAATCCTACCAGATACAAAGGAAGTACAGGCTGTGGTACTATCAATCGGACCGACTCTGCTCTTAATCCCACTCCAAACCAGAGATAAAGCAAGTACAAACAGTCTTCATATGCACACTTACTTTAAGCAAAGATATAATCTGGACCAACTGCTCCTCTAAATTAATCCCTGGCGCTGCAGATCAGAATATGTCTTCTTGTTGTAAATGTTACCCTCTTTGTCTTCATATTCTTCTTCAAGCTCTGGGCGCCACTTGTGCAATCCTTGCCGTTCTTGTATTCTCTCCCAGAGTTGCTTCGCTTCCTGTACAGTAGAACAAAATAGTAGTTTCAGATTACCTCAAACCACTGAGGAAAATGGCATCAAATTCTAAAGCTATTGTTGTTAAAGAGTAAAATATCAGAACATTGAATTTCTGTGATGGATTTCATCTGTTTCATGCTCCCCCCATCACAACTCCATAATTAGACATCCAATTTCGAGTAAACCTTCAATTGCTTCCAGAAGTCAAATCAATTTCAGGTATTTGAGAAAAAATCAAACCAACAATCGTGTAAACTTGTAGTATGTTTCAAACTTTGTGTTCAATTTGAACTTCATTGGATTCTCGGTAACAATTACAATAAAACAGTAGCAAGGCGGACATAGGTCACTTGGTCAGACACTTAAACTAATAATTGATGATTATTAAACTAATAATTGATGATTATTGCACTAATCCGTTCTAGGCTCACACACTGTATGAAAGCGAGATACACGTAGTAGGAATTGACTTAAAAAGGTATACTGTTATTATCCCCATTCATATTCAGTTGAATAGAAGCCTTTAAAGTGATGCACTGATTGCAATCAATTTGCCATCCAAACACTGTCAAAGAGCAATCATCCAATGGAATATTAACACAACAATACTGCTATGTGGAAGGAGATCAGCTAAGATCACCACATCAATAAAGCCTACCAGAGAAAGTCATTGCCATAGAAGAGAAGCACACCTCTATTGATGTAATTTCATTGAAGTTCTTGGTATTTGGAATACCAAGGCAGCGCATCCCATGCTGATGTCTCCATTCCTTGAAATGCCGCTCATAAGCCCTACGACCCCAGTAACTGTTGTTGCCACATATCTCACATTTGAATTCCTGAAAGAAATAAGAGTCCTGAGGAGCCCATACAGAAACAATATGCTAGAGTCACAAAAATAGAGATAAGAACCTAGCACCAAAAAGTCTTAGAAGTGAGCTACAAGAAGCAGCCTGCAATTTATAGCCTCGTCCACCCTAGTGATACTTTTTCTTTGCTGCTCTCTTGCTTTTTTGTTATGTTTGGGTCTTATCCACCCTCTTCTCCTTATTTTACAATTCCTTATTAATAAAATGTTTGTTTCTTGACGAAAAGACAATAGTGAGCAAGATAGTGATTAGATCAATAATCATAATCCACATTCAAACTGCTGGTCATATGGCCATTGATAAGAGATAGCCACAAATTCAAAACGAGGCAATACAGATTCAAATTGAAACTTACCTGACCAAGACCATGAAGTTTATACAACCAGTAAGGTATAGGCTTCCCATCCCAACCCATTGGCAACTTCAGGGGATTATAAATCTGCTGCTCCTCATCGTCACTCTCGGTGTCAGCCTGTACCTCTTCCTGATTGAAACATCCAAATCAATACAAACATCTATTAGTTAAAAGAAAGAAAAGAGAACTAACAGATAATTATTCTGCCAAATAAACACGACTGGGAAAATATTTATATCCTTTTGAGTATCATATTTAAACTAGGTAACTTCATAGTGAAACAAAAACCAAGCATTCGAGAATGCCCCAAGGCAAACAGCCAGTCGGGGGCTCCGGAAGGTGAATTTGAAGCAAGAAAATTACCTCCTCGCGTTCAGCTTCCATTTCCTCATATGTCAAAGCCTGTTTCTTCTCAATATTTTCTTTTGTTCGCATAATTGTCTGCACGTGGTCACCAAAAATTCACATCAAATGGAATGATGATAAATTTTCAAGGATGCTTACAGGTGTGACATGCACACTTGAATTTCAAAACACATACAAAGAGAAGGTGAAAAATTCTTGCTAGAGGAGAGAGAGAGAGAGGGGGGGGGGGGGGAGGAAAGAAAGGGGAGAAACAGAAACGGAAAGAGAGAGAAAGACAATGGAATACGGCATAAGCTAACCTCATCCAACAAGTCACATAACTTCCTCATCTTGGTTTCCATCAAGGCAATCTCTTTGTCATCTTCACCTTTTTGTGGAGTTGCAACACCATTCTGTGCTGATCCATGCGAACCTTTAGCAAAATGTTTTCTGTCCAACTTTTCCAGAGGTGTGTGCTGCACAAAATCAATGATACATCAAGATGAGTATGCATATGGACAGCTGTTATGGAACAAAGGGGTGGGTGGATGCAAGTCAGATTTAGGAGTACTTCATAAGGCACTCAAAGATGAGGGCCATGTTTGTGTCGACCTAATTAAATGAAAACAAAAAACAGCACAAAAGAAAGAAAGGTCCTTAGAGCTAGGAGAATCACTCTTCTTGATCTAGGGTTTGATAGAATCTCGCCTGAAGTTTGGCATCTCACCACGAACACAAAAAGGTACTAATTGAATTAGTTTACTTTTTTCACTTCTCATAGAGAATTACAAGCCAGCATAGGATACAGACAAGGCGATTAGTTCATATCTCAGTACTCAATAATGCAATAACCTACCGGTGACAAATGGCTTGACCTGGGCTGCAGTTACAGTCCATGGGTCCTCCTTAGTTAAGCCTTATATGAAGCTTTAGTGGTTTAGGATGGTCCAAATAATCAAAGAACCTCCTAATTCAGCCTTAGTTGTAGTGGGATTAGGAGAAATCAAGCAATTGATGACAAAACATCTAAAAACTACACTGAACAAAATATATAGAAATACAGCATCTAATAGATATAGGAGCTGTCATGCTCTCACCTTCATAAGGAAAAGCCTCTCTGCACGCTGCTGAACAGTGCCACCTGTCTTCAGTCCTAGTGCAGTCAGTGCCTACCAGGCAATAAAATGGGAATCAGCTAGTGTAAATGGTATCCATGGAATGATAACAACTTCTGGTTCAAAATTTCTTTTTGGGTAAATTAACTGAATATTTTTGTTAGGAAAATGTGTCACTTATGAATAAAGGCAAAATACACAAAACCCATTAATGAAACAGAAGCCATATGACAATAGCTACCTAACTCATACTCTAGCAGCAGAAAGGATTCAAGAAAGTTCCACTCAAACACTAAAGTATGGTCTGGTCCATTACAGAGTCAGTGATCGGCTACCACAAATTTCACTTCAATTATCCCTTTTTCTCTGATGCTTAATTAATGCACTGGTGGAAATCATTTACACTTGTCAGAGTCTTCCAACATTTTTTCCACCCCCATTCTTTATCTAGCTATTGGCCACGCACTTAGCATGTCACACTCTACAATGTCCTAAGAACCCCAGTTTCAGATCTTCCAATGCAAAATGACCATGAGCTTGGATAAAGATATAGGCTTCACAACAATAAATTCGTGAATGTCAGGTGATAAATGAGGTAAAAGTTACACAGAAGAGTCTGCCACAAATTCTGCCCTTACCTCCTTCAACTTCTCAGGTCCCACTTCCATCAGCTCTTCAACTGAACTATAATAATCAAGATCAATTACAGTATGCTGCAGTGGAACATGTCCATTTTCTTCACCCTTGTTCTCCCATCCTGGTACACTCCCATTTGCCCATTGCTCTTCAAACTCAGTTATTACCTGCAAGAAAGAGTCCATTTTCAGAAAAGAGCACATGCAGAGATTCCGGGATCTATAATAGCACCAGCAGAAATTTAACATAAAACAAGTCCACCATTGATTAAAGTTCTAATAAGTTCTTTGATAAAAAAATTCAATAGATGTTATTTAATTAATATTTCTAAAGGCAAATTGTGTGTATGGTAGGTCTTTTGAATTTACATGTACCAAAACACCGCCGATGAAATAATTTTGATTTTTTTTTCAACGGTTGTGAAGGCATCTCAAAAAAACCACATAAATTGACATGGCTTTTTTGGATTCTTGGATACCAACAGCAGCATCTTTGCATTTTTCCTCAGTAAAGGGAGTAAAAAGGTCCCTTATCATACAAGAACAGGTTGCCAATAAAAAAACAGTATGAAGATCATTTGAAAAGTGAACCTTCGAGAAAATTCTATCAAGATCTTGCAAGGGCTCTGTTCGCTGGAAAAAGTATATCAGATACTCCAGCAGCTTCTCTAAATACTCCCTGTACTGCCTGTGGAAGAAAGGGACAAATAATTATCAATAACATCATATGGACAAGATGAAATAAAAAGAACCATCTGCACCCTGTGCATATTAAGAACCAAGCAATAGAAAAGCACCTAATTGAAGAAGTTCTCTAAACAATCCACAAAAGAATTCGGTGAATGTGACTACCTCCCAGACACCCACCAAATAACATAATAAAAAACACACAAGTTTTTGCTATGTTTTTTTTTTTTTTTTTGCTTACCACTGGCAACACCATCTCCTTAAAAGATCTATACTCCTCACCTACCAAATGCATCAAACAAGATACAAAGGTCCCAACTTGTCTTTATGACACCCTTTTCTCCAATCCAATAATGACCGGAAGCAACAGAGAGGTAAAAATAAATATCACTATCATGGTAAATAAATGAAGAAACTTTTACCTTGTCGACCTTAATTTGGGAGGAATCTTGTGCGGTTGAGAAAAAATGTCAAGGTAAGAAGTGTACTCAATAGGCTCTCCAAATTTAGAATTAATGTAATCATTGAACAGTTCGTGCATATCAAGGTATCGTCCAAAGGCTTCCTGAAAATTGACCCACAATTTTATTAATTCAGTAAACTAATAAAAGCTACAAGAAAAATGAATTATCTTAGATTACAAGTTAAAAAATTTCAATGACTTGCTTTAAATCTACTAAAAATGTTTCTTTCTGAGCACATATTTGCCTAATAATCCAGGCATTACAACATTGTGCAGCAAAAGCACGTCCATCAATCAACTCTTTCTCCAAATGCAAAGAAAAAGCTGAAACTCAGAACAACGATGAATAAGGGAAATGCTCAATCCCAACTCAGAAACTTGTATGAAAGATGATGTGATGTCAAAATTCTTGATGACGTGTGACTAAAATTATCCATCAATTCAAATTGCAAAACACCATAACCAGGTTGAATCCTACCCATTTTAGGTCAAGAGTCGAGACTATTTCCCAAGGATGCATGCAACAACCTGTACATCACATTCTGTTGGTAAGCCAGAAAAAAACATACAGGATGCATGCGTTTTCTGAGCCATTGACTTAGCCAACTCCAGTTCCTGTGCAGGTCCATAACTGATAACCCTAGCTTGATTCATAGTATTTCGAGTGTAATGCCATATTACGTGGTGCAAAATTAGAGTTCTTAGATTTAGAGGACAGCAAACTGACATAGCAGAACTAATTTGTGTTTCAAACAACAGATGAGATAATAGAACCAAGATAAAATTTGCCTCTGCATCTCTCCAACATTTGAGAAGTAAGCATCAAATTACCAACGCAATACATATGATATTTTTATAGCGCTTACATTATAGGATTTCCATTATGTAAAGTTCTGCCCAGATGCAAAATAAATCAGTTATGGCATACTCAAACAATCCAATCTCACAATTCTTGTACAACTTAACATAATCCTCGATAGAGAGATGTATGTGTGCATGTATACACAGAGAGAGAGACCAACCTCCCCACTGAACTCAATCTGTGGTTCCTCTTTGAGCAGCTGCTCATACTCATCAGTGGCATCGACAACACGTGCAGCAGGATGACGTCTATGATACTCTCGTATCTACAAATAACGCAGTCCCCATCAATAAGTTGAAAGCATAAAGCATTAACGTTTTCCTCCGTAAATGCATTTCAAATTGAACTAGATTGCGACAATTATCTTTGATAAGCTTTATGGTCCGTTCGGTAGGGTGAATGGGATAGAAAAATGGAAGGATGGATTCCGTGTTTGGTAAAAGGGATGAAAAATATGAAGAATTGATTTTTTTGTGTTTGGTGAGATGGAAAAAAATATTTTAATTTTTTTTGTTTTTTGAAAAAAATATAAATACATATTTTACCATTATATCTATCTATGAAATTAATGTATACATAATATGTAATTAATAAATATGATATATGTACATATCGATGATATATAGACAAATAACATACATTTCAACACATAATTAATTTTTCATCCACTTTTCCTCCCAATTTTAGAGGATTAATTTTGAAAAACTCGTTCATCCATTTTTCTATCGTTCATATTTTTCTTCTTTATAATATTTTATCCGTCCCTCTAACTTTCCATCCTTCTATTTTTGCATCATATCAACTGAACCATTAGTGTTATCTAGCTGAAACTAAAAATTCCAGAGTCCAGACAATAAGAGATTAAAAGGAAAGCATTTGTCCCATTACTTCATAAAAACAAATTATTTAATCAAGAAAAAAAAATAATAACTTTAGATTTACCTCTTTTAGCCTATCATAAAATGCACTAAAGACGTTAGTCCCAGTCGCAGTCTGACCTCCAAGAGCAGCAATCTCATCCTTCCTAGCATTATCTCTGTCTTCGTAAATCTCAACCTAAAATAAACAAGACAAAAATCATTCATTCAAATCAAACATTCACATCCCTACAACTGCCATAAAGACTAAAGAATAAAGTTCGATAAATAAAAAATACTAATTATAACAGAGGAAAAAGTACGAGTTTATGAGTAGTGGTTGTGATTTGATCGATCATGTTGCGAACACGGTGGCTCTGGAATAGACGGTCCTTGTTCGACGAAGGCTCGTTCTGGAGATCCTTCACGATGAGACGCTCTAACCGCTCAACCTCCTCGTGCGACGCACGTGTCCCTTCCAGTAGTGTCGACGACATCTTTTTCCGCTCTCTCCGACGATCTAGGGTTCCACACTGTCTCTCTCTCCTCTGAAGTTGCAGAGGGTTTTGCAAAGGAAGGGGTTGAGGATTATTGCCTATTGAATTATAAATGGAGCCTGTGAAGGTATAATTCGCCGCCGTTTTTCTCCCTGGAATGAATATGAAGGATACGATGTCGTTTATCTATGGACTTTTTGCACAGCAAATGATCTTTTTATTGGCCTTCTGTTTTTATTTTGAAAATTTGAAAATAAATAAAATAATTTAAATATTCTATAATACAAAATAGGACAGCTTTAATAAACTTTTTCCAGAATCTCACATATACTAATTCAACGGTTACCGACATCTCTCTTAAAATTATTCGCATTGAATTTTTCTCTCAAATTTAATTACTTCTCACTTACGTTTGCATCCTTTTTCAAACTCAAGTTACCCCAGATGAAGACAAAATTATTCGAGTCGTACATTTTGAGAGAAATGTTTTTTTTTTTTTGATATAATTTCGAGATGAAATAACATAAGTCAAAATGTCATAGTAACGAGTTAACATGTGAAATTTTCTTTTTAACCGTTAGGGATATTCAAATCAGTTTATGCGCATTTGACTAATTTTTTTTTTCAATTTGGTCAAAGGTGTGACATAACCCTAAAAAGTTTTTCGACTTCGTTATATCTGAATTTACAACTTGTCTTTATTACTATTTGAACTATATTTAAGGTTGCATATTATGTTTCTAACACTATAACTTTCAACTCAAATCCATCCAAATCGATTTTATTTTTCACCCAAAAAATTTTGTTCAAATAAAATAATAATTCTATATATTTTTATAGATTTTAGCTAAAAAAATCTTGAAATATTTAATGAATATAAGTATATAACTTCAATTTTCATACTAAATGTTCCTCCGTTGGGAGCAAAACTCTCTAAAACTGTCATTATTTTGAAACTTTTAACTATATTTCTAAACGCGGCCAAAAAAAAACTGTATTTCTAACCAAAAAAAAAAAACAGAGATTTTCTTTGTAAGTTTTAAGTTCTATTTCTATAATTTCATTATTTTAAGAGTAATATTATTGAGATCTTAAAATTTAAAATCTAACATAATTTGGTACCACAATAATATGTAAACTGATAGTGTTTTAATAAAAACATTTCAACAATCACATTACACTATGTTACTCTCATGTCAAATAGGTAGGTCTCAACAAAATTATTTTTGAAAGAAATATATTTTATACCTTAAAAGATTTAAAAAAATTTATTTTATACTCTTAAATATTAAATTTCTTATACTTTAATAAATTAAAAATATTATAATGTGACCCTTCTGTTAGATTTTTTTTTTTTTGTCATTGTCAATGAGGATATTTTTGATGAAATAAATAATAGAAGCTAACAGAAAGATCATATTGTAATACTTTTGATATATTAAAGGTACAATATAAAAATTTTTATCTTTAAATCTTTTAGGGTATAAAATATAATTCGTCCTTTTTTTTCTTTTAAATTATACGCAACTAGTCGAAAAGTTCTGGGTCTGTTTGTAAATAGTATGAGACCGAAACTCATTTTAAAAGAAAAATTTAATACCCTCACCCCCACCCCATCATTTCGTCGTCTATTGAACAGTTGGACCCTGTAGACAGCAAAAATACGGTGATCTGATCGATTAAAAAGGCTTCCATTCCATGAGCAAGAAAGCTGGTTTAGTCCCAAGAATGTGGAACCTAAATCAGTCTCTCTTTGGTGGTGGTGATAGTGACCCACAAGACAACTTATTGGATGAATCCGAAGGCCCCTGCTCACTCTCTCCATTGCAGGTATTGTCAATTATGCACAGAATTTCGACGAACTTATACTATTTATAGAGAACCCAGTTTCGATTCACTCTATTTCTTGGTTTTTGTATGAGCAGAGAATGTACGGATTTGCTGCTTGTTTGTTAGCTGGCCTAATTTGTACGTTCCTGGTATGATAATATGATCTATTTATTCATTTTTTATTGGTATATTTACTAAAATTAGTGTTATGAAAGTGTTTTATTCAGCAGTACATTTTTTTTTGGTTGCAATGGTTATTACTCTGTGCCAAAGTAACAATCAAATCGAATGATTTTTAGTCCCGGACTTGCTTTATCCTTACCAAGTGAGCTTAACTTTGCAGATGAATGTTGAAAGAGTGCGATGTCAGCTATAATTTGAGGTTTTATGGAGAATTGTATGACTTGGTTATTGAATGGAAATGGGAACCTATCTAACAATTTTCTTTTACACTTTGTTTTTTTTGCAGTCATTGATTGTTTTTGCCATACCCATCAAGTTCGCATTGTTGTTTACCTTTGGCAACATGATGGCTGTTGGAAGGTAGGTCACAAGCTAACTGAGCCAAGTGCTAAGAAACCATCTAATGCTGAGAACTTGGGCATGGGCTATTCGGTCATTATGCAATGGCAGTCTTTTTTTTTTTTTTTTTTTTTTTTGGGGGGGGGGGGGGTGTTCTACCAAGGGAAGGTTGGATACACTCCAAACCTCGGGCTTTTGTCTGCACTAAGTTGCTGCCCTTGTACTTGAGCCCACAATTTCTATCAAGTAGAATGACTCATTTTGATCCTTTTCTTGGTTAATCATTAATGAAGTTAGTGCCCTTGCCCCATATGGTAATGCCATTCACAAATGGCAGAATTATTTTTGGGATTATGAATCTAAATCTAAAAGCAAATGGACGTAGTACCATGGATACTCTGACATCATTTCTGTGGTCATGTCTGATTCAGTTTATCTAGAATTTCCTCATTCAAGTTAATTTCTTCAGATTCTAAACTTGTATTTGTGTGGCAGCACAGCTTTCCTTATTGGAGCAGGGCAACAAGCAAGGATGATGCTTGATCCTGTCCGTGTTTACGCTACAGCTGTTTATGTTGGATGTGTTGTTTTAGCTCTCATTTGTGCTCTTTTGGTAAGTCTACAAGCTTGACCAACTAACATTTTAAACAGTACCATAAGCCTTTCGAAAAACGAAGCAAAGTTAATCAAAGCAAGTGGTAAATGTTCCTATATTTGGAACTCTGGTTAACAACACGTTTTGAAGGGGGATGAATTCTGTTCCAGGAACTTGATGGTTTATATTGCCCAAACCCTCCAAGACATAAAGATATTTTTTTGGGCAATCATATATATTATCAAATTTTTCCAAATACACTGAAATTGGACCCTATGGGCTATCCTAACCAAGTCCATTCCCTAACATTTTTTGTCCATTGTTTATAGGGAGAAGGTCCTTTAATATCATTGTAACCTTTGAATCACAATTTTGATACCAACCTTTACATAACGGTTTCAAAAATATATTATCTTCATTCACATTTTTAATCTATTATCAAAGGAAGAAAGCAAAAGTTTGAAATAACTCAACATCTTAAACTGGTGCAGTTAGAACTCCAAAAATTTCTTCACTCCTTTTATACTCATGGCCTCCCTCACCCAAGCCTTATGTCTGTGATGTCTGAGGCTAGATTTTTTTACCAAAAACACAGCATATCATGAGGTTTGGAGCACCATCAGCATCTTTTTGTCATAGTGCAATGCATTACCAGTTTTTCACCCTTTCTTTCATTTGCAGATCCACAATAAGGTTTTGACAATACTTGCAATCATATGTGAGATCTGCGCCCTCATTTGGTGAGTTTGGTTTCTACATCCATGATTCTGGCATGTTTCTGCATGAGTTCATTCCCCCCAACAAAAAGCGAAGAACAAAACTATGCAGACATAATGAGTATTTCACTTCAGGAAAATGACTTCATAACATGAAAAAGTGGATGAAAAGTTGCCAATTAATGCAAGAGAATATAGATTTTTTGCTTGTAAGAATATATGGATTTACATCCATACAAACTTGGCTTAAAGAGTGTGATTTTTATGTTACGTGTAGGGGCAGGGAGACTTACATATGCAATGAAACATCTAAACCACTTCCTGGCTTATTAATAGTAAATCTTCCATTTAGGAAATTCACCTATATTATGAAGTTGATAACATTTAGCACTAGGTATGCGAATAAAGATGTTTTGCCTTGAATAGACTGAAAAAATTTGAAGCCTTGGACATCATTTTGAATTGTGTTGAGGTTAAACTAGAGCATTAGGGTTTACTTGTAAGAGTTAAGCGTTATGAAATACGGATATGTATACGGGATATGGTAACGATACAATACGGATACGGCATACAACAAAATCTAAAAAAGTAGGATATGGGTACGGTCAACATACTATAATAAAATAATTTTATTATTTTCAATCAACGTAATACTTATATATTTTGGTAGTTTTTTAACACAATAAAGAAAATTAGTAATTTTTTTTAGTTTTAAGAAAATATATATCTATCACTATGGTATACTCACAAAGTGAAGTGATTAATTAAATGAATCAAAACTAATAATTACCGAATTGGTTTATTTAGAAGTAATTTTTGCTAAGACTATAATATAATAGATTTATTTTATTCTCTTTTGACATGTAATTGTAGAAAATACTTAAGAAATACTCATGTGCCTTTGAAATAGTATGAATTTTTGTAAATGTATTATATGATATTCAACTTAAAAATTATATATGTTGTTTTAACACAAAAGTATCCGTGAAATATTTTAATATTTAATTATTATCGGATACATATTCTTGAGTATCAGACGAGTATCGTATCTGATACGGTATTCGATACGGGTACGCCGACTTTAACGAAATATCTATACTTCATAGGTTAAGAGTTAAATTTGAAGCTCTATATTTGTGTTTTCTCTGGGCCCCCTCGCCTGGAGGAGGGGGATCGGAGGAGTTTGAAGGAAAAATGCATAATATGAAAGAGAATAGAGGAAACTTTGTAGAAAAGTTATGATTAGTTCCTTTAACTTCTGTTTACAGTCTGAGCTTTCTAATTGCTTGTAGTTTCTCTTGGAGATTTTTTCCCCTTCAGTAATTAGTTTCTGTAGAGGAAGTTGGTATTTCATCTTCAGTGTTACTTGCAACAATTTTGAATATAGAAGTAAAAGTTCCGTGTTTAGATAAATCTTTGGTTTTTGTATCTCGAAAAACACAGCCTGATCATTCATATTAGGTTGTAAAAGATGCCATCAAACAAGCTAAAGTTAGTATATGTTTTCCAGTAAGTTCTAGTTATGACTTCTCAATATATATCTGGTGTTAGCCTACCTCGATCATTTAAATGAAGGCTTTGTTGAGTTATCTTCTGTGGTTGTCTATTTGGTTGTGCTTGGGCTATAATATTAAAGGTAAGATGAATCTGTGAGTGATGAAGTTTTAGTGATCATCTTAATCCTCAGTGCATGAGTTGCTGGTTACCTTTACTTTTTGGTTGAGTTGTTTCCCTTGATCTTCGTGGCCCCAATGCTAAGGTGTAGACTGTTAAGAGTAATATCTATATATGTGAGGACGTTTGAGATCTAATTAGTATGAAGTGCTCTAATCAACAATATGTGGACTACATACAAGAAACACCAAGGTATCATACTGTTATCCCTATGGGGACAGGTCAGGTGACTCATTATGGTGTGGGTTCAAGCCCCCCATCCCCATACCAAAAAAGAGAAAAAAGAAAAATCAAAATTTTTGTTGTTTTCTTTCCACCACTTTTCCTCTTTATTTGATGTTTTGTTTAAGATCTTTTAAAGGGCCAGTAGTTTTCAAGTGATTTCCTGTTTCCTATATCTCTTTATTATGTTGTGGTGGTTCTCATTGATTAGTTTATACTTGTAATTGTTTCCACAATAATAGCTTTTTGATGACTTATAATTGATGTCAAGCAAGGACTATTCAAAATATTCTGGAGAAAACTGGAAATTAACCATCCAAGTGGTGGCTTGAATGTATATAGTTGGGGAAAAAGTAATTCTGTTTGGCAGAGAGAAGCTTTTGTTGTCATTGTGGACTTCTGGAATTATTTGTGAATAATGCATGCTTTTAATAGTTACCACCATATTCATTGCTACTCTGCTGACCATGGAGCTGCACATTTTATAAGTTTTCAATATTTTGTATTCCACGACATGTACAGGCTATATTTCATGAGTTGCAATCAACCGTTTTAGATTGGTTAATTTGGGGAAGAAAGCTAAACTTGTCTTGAGTATGAATGCCTCCCTTTTTACCTTAAGTCTTTCTGTAGTTCAAAGTGAGAAGTTCATTAATTAAAGATATATTCTTCTCTAATATTTCATGTTTTATGGGTGCTGTTGAATAGATTATGCTCAGTGTTTTTAAACCTTTGTTGGGTTCTTTCAGGTACAGCTTAAGTTACATTCCTTTCGCTCGTAGAATGGTTTCTGAGGTGACGATCCGCCTTTTTGACACTGAGATCTAGACTACTGATACTGGAGGATTGTTTATGTAGTTCATTGCCAAAGAGATTCCTGAAGATTGGCATCTGGGAGATTTTTTGCCCTTTTTTCCATTGAAAAATTTGGTTGACCGAGTTGGGTTACTTGAGCTTGTAATGTTATGGTGTTACTGTTTGGCTGCTTTATCAAAGTCCAATTGTTTTCTCTTGTTACCGAAGGATGTACCGTATCGGAAGTGACAATTTTTTTCTTACTTCCACGAGCATAAGAAATTCTTTTTAACTTTTTTTTAAAGTTGTAAGGCGAAATATGACTAAACACAGAAACACGTGATGTTCATGTTCAACTCTCAGGTTTTTTTTTTTTTTTTCTTTTTGGTCTTGGTTCAACTACCTTGATGATAGTAGAATCTACCACATAAAAGGATCGTGTCTCAACAACCAAGACACTATCACCAAGATCTGCAACCCCTTTAAGTCCTGTCACTTTTTTAGATGGACCATGGTTGTACCACAGACATAGTACCGAGGAAAAAACATCACAATGTTTTTGGCGTTTCTACGGATCTCCATTATTGTGGCCATGAATTTTCTTGGTCGTCAGTACGAAAATGATCACGGGGTGTACAAAAACCTACGAGGATTAATGACATTTTTATTACCACTTGATTGCCAGCATAAGATATCCATTAATTGCAATTTAACAGGATGGGACTTTGTCAATCTTTATAAGTGAACACCTACTCTGTTTAATCCTTGATAATGTGGGCAACTCGGGCCGGATTTGGACTAAAAGTGCTAACTCAAGTTAAAAAACCCTCAAACCATATTCAATTCGGCCAGATATTTAATGAGAATGCTTCAAGTCTAACTATATTGATAGTTACACTATTAGAATTGAAATTCGAGTTCAATTGATAGTATCGAATGGGCTAATTGATTCTTCATCTATATCTGTTAATGGGAGAGTCCAATGACGGACTGCATAGATCGAGCGTTTTCCTTTCTCCTACTATTTGGGGTGGTTGGGCTCACAATAAACATCATGGATCGCTTAACATCAGGGTAATTTATTTCACTGACAAAGACACAGACGTGATCGGCTTTAATGATCTCATTGTTCGAGTCCCTGGACAAAGGTGAGACCAATCTTATTATGATTAGCGAAATCCTTTCCAACTCCGTTGAATGGTTTCAATTGATAGTATCGAACTGTTATATAAATACCATGGGTAAATGTTTGTACAATTAGATTAAAAAAAAAGGTAAATTAAAACTTGCAACAATTATAAGTATACCACACATTTATAGCCAACCTCTTCTTTTTTTTTTTGCCACACAAGTTTCATTAACCTTAAATAATGGAATAAGATAATGTAAAAGTTGAATTTGACTAATCAAAAGTTTAAAGCAACAAGCAACATGAAAGTGAAAGGCAAGAGGTTATTGGGTTGGTGAAGGCATTTTTTTTGGTGATGATTAGTGGTTCTCTTTCACACTAACCTAACTTTTAAACCTAGAAAAACGGTGACCACATATGCCTCAAAATTCAATTCTCTTCAAATTTCCCATCTACCTAAAGTAAGAGATGCCCCCATCACCTACATATAACAAACCTACTACCATCTACTATATGATGAGCTATAAGCCAACAACTCCCACAGAGAGATGGGTGCTGTAGGCCAATGAAAATTACATCTGAAAGTTACTACCAGAGATGACCTTGTGGGCCAAACCATAAAAAGAACAAAGAAAAAAATAGAGGGAGAGAAAAAAGTCAAATTATATAATCTTATCCTGGCATGAAAAAAAAAAACCAATATCCATGACTCTAAAGTCCATATTAAAATAATGAGTAATATTGATGATGCACAAATTGGTATTGAACAAAATCAACAATTGAGTATATCAAGAGACACAATTAATGAGCAGTAAATAGGCAATCAATGACAGAACAGTAAATATGGAATTAATACAAAAATTTATAGTGGTTCGGTCTAGATGACTTACTCCACTCTCGAAAACGGCAGCAGTGATCGGAGATTTTTATTGATGAATAAAAGTCACCAGGTGAGTTACAATGCTTTTGGGAGAGAGAGAACAATGTGTATAGAGAGGTATAATGTGTGTAAAGATCTCAAGGTGTAAAGACATTACATTAAATAGGCTTAGTACGGCGGTGATGCGATGATGTGGGAGAGAGAACTTCTACTATTTTGGTAAATACAATTAGAGTAGGATTAGATTTCTCTGCGTATCCTGATATTCTCTCTCTCGTGTTCTTATTCATTCGGAGGATGATCTTGGGCCTGGAGTTGAGTTGGTGGGTGATGGACTTGAATTGGAGTATCAGAGTCAAGAGGGCGAAAGACTCTAAGAGATTGTGCAGGAGAGAGAGCATCAGGAGAGAGAGATCCCCTTCGGGTGGCCTCCCTTGGGCGGCGCCCCTTAAGGTGTCTCCTCCTTTACTTTGACTTCCCCTTAACTTGGGTTCCTCCTTGACTTGCTGGCTTGAGTTCCAAAGTGACGTGGGCCTCTCTTGATTAATTAGGTCTGACTATTTTTGGGCTCATCATTTGTCCCTTATGCCCCAAACCCTTGACTTTTCACAAGAGGAAGGGGTTGAGGGCATATACTTCTTCTTTACTTGAACAAGAGTCTTCTTGTTCTACATGGTAGCTTGCTTTCCGTTCTTTGGAGATTAGGCAACTTAGTTGATGGAGGCACTTGGTGCATGAAAGATAGCCTTGGCAATGCCAAGGCGTTGGATGATCAAGTGGACAGCTGGGCGCTCGTTGGCATGGGCGAGGGCCCTTGGGCGACGCTACCTCCTTTTTTATTTTTTTTGGGGCGATGCCTCAAGGGGCTGGGTAGCGCCTTGGGCACTACTTGTGGTGGTTGCTATAGTGGGCAGCACCTTTGGCGCCTGTCCCACTCCTTGCAATTGGTTACACACAGCAAATTTTGGATGGCTAGTGGTGGTAGATGCAACAAAGAATGATGGGTTCCACAAAGTTAATAAATAAATAAAACTAGATAAGTCATTGGTCAATCACCAACTGGTCAATGATATTGGCTTCTAGAAGATCCAGCCATCAAGACAAAAGAAAGTCATATTTTACTAGTTGGCATGAACCACATATAAGCGTGAACACCAACTTCCTCCGAAACAATATGGCTGATGGCCCCACGTTCCTAGCATTTTTTTTCTTTCTTGGCCTCCTTGGGCGATGGCCATCTCTACTTTTTTTTTTTTTTTCTTTCTTGGGCGCCGCCTCTTGCTTTCTCTTTTTTTGTTTTTTCTTCTCGGGCGCTGGCATGTTATTCCCTTTCTCCATCTCTTTTTTTTTCTTGGACGCTAGCAATTAATGGCAGAACAGTAAATATAGAATCAATACAGAAATTTATAGTGGTTCAATTCTGGTGATCTATTCTACTCTCGAGAACGACAGCGATAACCAAAAATCTTTATTAATGAATAAAAGTCACCAAAAAAATTTACTCTATGAGAGTTATAATACTTTTGAGAGAGAGAAAACAATGTGTATAAAGAGGTGTAGTATGTGTAAAGATTTCAAGATATAGGGGCCTCAAGGTTGTGTCAAGATCTTAAGGTCATGTCTTTTATATAGAGAAGATTTACATTATATAGGCTTAGTAAGACGGTGACATGAGGGAGATGACTTCTACTATTTTGGTAAGTACAATTAAAGTAGGATTAGATTTTCGTGCGTATTCCAATATTCTCTCTGTCGTACTCCTATTCAGTCGAAGGAGAATCCTAGACTTAGACTTGAATTGGTGGGTGCTAGACTTGAATTGGAGTTTCGGAGTCAAGAGGATAAAGGACTCCACGAGGTTGCGCAAGAGAGGGAACATGGGACATGAGGGAGAGATTCCCTTCGGGTGGCCTCCCTTGGGCAGCGCCCCTTTGAGGTAGCCCTTGGGCGACACCCTTAGCTTAGCCCCCTTGGGTGGTGCCCCTTAAGGTGTCCCCTTGAGGGTGTCCCCCTTATACTCCTCTTTGACTTTGGTTTCTTCTTAACTTGTTGGTTTGGGCTCCGAGGTAATGTGGACCTCTATTAATTAATTGGGTCTGACTCAATTACTTTTGGGCTCATCAAATACTATTGAAACTTAATTTATTAAAATAATTTGCTAACATAATTTATGGTTCACTCATGTACCTTGATAGAAGTTGAGCATTCAGTACATGATGGGGCCATGACATTATAATTTTTCACATTATAGAAGAAAAGGAGAAAGAATAAAATTATGAAAGTTCTAATTTTATTGAATTAATTTTAATGATGAACAAAACGCGTTTATGCACCACTTATCAAGTATAAAATACAGTAATAAATGATGAGAGTCAACACAACAAAATACAATTTAAGTGGTTCGATCAGGATGATCTGCGCCATTGGAAATGGTTAAGATGACTTGAGTGTTTTATTTATCAAGGAGTGCAAAGTATTCAAATGTGAGTGATATGTGAGAGATACTTCCTTTGTGTAGGTGAGACTTATAATTTATAGGTGTCTCCTAATAGGTTGATGTGTCTTTCTCGTATCAGATGACATAGTTCGGTAGAGGTTGTGTATCTCTCGTAACAAACGAGATAATTCCGTGGAGGTGGTGACGTGCACGTCCCAATGAGATCTCCTTGTATGTCAGTTGTGGATTGAGTCTCTAGTCATGATACAGTTGACCTGACTCTCTCAAGATGGCGCGATTGACCTACCCTATCTACCTCTATCCTGTGATGGGCTGGGTTTGTATGCTTGAGGTGGGTTTGGTCTGCAATTCTAGACTGAGCCTCTAACCTGAGTTTGGTCTTAGTAGGGCCCATCAAATTTGATCTTATGAGGAAAAGTGTGGGAAACAAACAATTAGGGGGTGTTTATGAGCCTGGTTGTCCACGTATCCCATTACTCGGCTCGAAACTCGATAGGTCCAATAATTGGTTCGCTCGAGCTCGAATCCAATATCTTTTAAAAAAGAGTTTGAACTTGTCCTCAAACCCATTACCCGGCCCATGAGTCTGCCCGCAAAAACCTAGCCCATGAGCCAACCCACCTAGCCCGTCTTTCCACCCAATTGTTTGAAAAAAACTTGACTATTGAAACTTTGAAAGTTTGGTGGTAATATATGACTTTACTCTATTTAAATAAAATTATTTATTATTTAATTTTTTTTATTTTAACCCTACTTTTAATTCAAAAAATATTAAGTTGAAAACATTTTAAATAAAATTATATGTATAAAAAGAGGCCTGCCCAACAAGCTCACCCAGTGAGTGGTGGATTGAGCAGTAGTTAACCTACATCTATCCGAAGCCCGCCCGCCCCACT